CTGGTACCAAGAATTAAACAATCAATTCAGGTGGGTTCAATCCCTGGTCAGGGCACATACTTAGGTTGCGGGTTCCATCCCTGGTGGGGGCAATGTATGGAAAGCAACCCATTGATGCTTCTCTCTCATACCAATGTTTCTCTTTCTCCCTTCTCTCTCTCAAATCAATAAACATATCCTTGGGTGAGGATTTAAATAAATAGATAAATGAATGAATGAATAAAAGCATTAACCAGTGAGACACCACATTATGTGACATCAACAGTAAGATGCAACTCTTATATGACCTTTGTATTTATGGTTCAAGAAAGAGCGTTCACAACCAAACAGCTATTGTGTTGGCTGTTGTCATTTTTTTTTAATTAGACAAACTAAGGGAATATTCAGTGCCCCTGACTACATAGTCAGGTATGGCATGTTTTAAAAATTCTTTGAGAATACCAGATGAAAATCATTGTCTGTAGCATTGATGATGGTTACAGTGAGTCACACACCTCTGTGTATTCATGCCCTTGTGAAGACCCTTTCCTTTCAATCTGGACTGAGTTTGTAGCTTACTTTAAGAAATAGAATTCAACAGAATTAAACAGTTCCAGGTCTGGGTGTAAGCCCTAGGAAGGGTAAGTAGCTTTTGCTTTTCTGTTTTTGGGAGACCTAAATAATCATGTCAGAAATCTGGCTACCTTCCCAGAGAGACCATTTGGAAAAGAGGTCACATGGAGACAGAGAGGCCCTGAGATTACGGGTAAAGAGAAGCCTAGTTATCCTTGTATTCTAACTGAGCCCACGTCCCACCTGTCACCTGAAAGCAATCATGGGTGGCATCAGCAGGATGAGCAGATGAACTGCCTAGCTAAGCCCAGCTCAGAGTGCAGAATTATGGACAAATAAAATGGTTCTTTTCTTGAGCCAAAGAATTTGGGGCAGATTGTTACACAACAATTAAAAAAAAAAAACCACGTAACATGTTCTTGACAATAAAAGCTTTGCTATAAAGGATACTTACTTTTCTTGTCCTCTTCTGACAATTTTGGTCTTTCCATGGCTTGCAAATATCAGGCAATGTTGAAGAGAGATAATAGTAATAAATAACTCTTTTCCTTTACAGAAGTTTACCTTATTCTACTGCAACTGCATGGGTTTGGCTGATACTTGGTTGAATCTGAGGTAAACCGGTTTCACTGTACTGAATCTCTCAGAGAAATCTCTGGTGACAGGGTTGCTTTTGCTTTCTATGTCCAGGTCTCTGATTCCTCTTCTCTGTTAAATTTCTCAGTCCCAGTCTTTTGTGACTACTTTATCCCTGTCAGAGTTGAATTATTTTTGGCCTACTTCAGCCAAGTAAGACATGATGGAATAGTCTTTCTTGTTCATTTAAACTTATTTCTCTTGTCCAAAAAGACTTGGGAAGGTATCCTGGGGCTGAGAGTGGATCTCAGACCAGAAACCACCTTATTTTAATCACATATTAGTTAGCAGGAAAGATATAGTACAATGAGACATTGCTCATGCAGTTAATTTCTTCAGTTTCAAAGATTAGTTTCTCTCCTATTTAAATCCTGAAATACATTTTATAGGTATAATTTTTCAAACAATTTTTTTGTTAAAATGCTTTTTTAAAAACTACATGAAGATTTAATATTTCAGAACTTGATTGGCTTTATAACAACAACAACATGGGCAAAACAATTACAGTCAACCATTTTAGAATTTTGACAATTAACCAAAACCAGAGAATGAAGTGAAAAGCCAATGCCCAAGAGAAAACTGCTGAACCTTGAAAAAACAGTGAGGTGTGTGATTTTAACTTGAGGCGATTTCCATCTTCCCTCCTTCCTCAGCTTAGTGGTATTGCAAAAGCTGGCAGCATTACAGACAGTGGAGAGATCTTAATTACTTTTGGAGATCCAAAAAAGTAGCACCTCCAAAGCATTTGCTATTATGTCCAAGCTTGCAGGTCCCTGGGAAAACTATTCTCCAAGTGGTTGGCTATTTGATTTGACTTGGAGCTCACCTCAGTTGGGGGGAAGAAAAAGCCTACCTGCAGGGCTTTGCTGAAACAATAGCAATTGTTGGCGACACATCCACTGCCTAAGGCTGTGATTTCAGTTGGGACAAAGAGTCTGGTCAGTATTTTAAAAGGAATCCTGGAGAGTTAGCTAACCATAGGGATTGTGAAAAGCTCCAACATATTCCTGGGCATCTAAAAGGTTGCACAATGAGCAGGAGTATACAGCTGCCCAGGAAAGACCTGGGAAAAGAGATCACCTCTGGATGAGGTTGTATGTAATTAGAAGATGTTAGTTAGGGCTATCTTATAAACTACCTGAAGATTAAAGTGGGACTTCTCATAAAGATTCCTTGGGCAAAGGCGGAAGACAGACAAGCATTTAAGGAAATCCTTGGACCAGTCATTGGTTGACCACTAAATTATACTGACCCTGTGTGACTCCTAGGAAGCCAGGCTTAAAAATAAAAATAAGAATTTAGAAAACAATTTAACAGAGAGCTCAGTGGTCACACACTATAGGTAATATTGAATCTACAGAATTAGTTCATGAGAGTGCTAAACAAATGATCAACATCAATAAAAACAAAATCAATGTTAAAAAGTCACGGTGGAGCAATGTAGAGAATTCTGATACTAGGGTTGTTAAGATAAATTTTTTAAAATGCTCAGTGTTTAACAAAAAAAAATTGTGAGACTTCTAAGAAACAGGAAAGTATGTCATACACATGAAAAAAAAACAACCATGCAAAAATCAGCCAACAGAAACGTGTCCCTTTAGGTGCCCAGATTCGGACTTGATAGACAAAGCCTTTGAAGTCAGCTTTTATAAATCTGTTGAAAGAACTAAATGATACCATGTCTAAAGAATTAAATGAAAGTATAAGAATGATGTCTTGCCAAAGAGAATATCAGTCAATATAGAAATTATATAAAAAGAACTACATAAAAATTCTGGAGTTTTTAAGTATGATAAATGGGAAATTTACTATATGGGCTTAACAAATATAAGTTAACAGATGAAATAATTTGTTAACTTGAAGATAATTCATTAGAGATTATCCATTGTGAGGAGTAGTAAGAAAATAAATAAAATGAACAGAGCTTCATGAGATCTATGTGATGTCATCAAGTGTGCCAATATACGCGTAATGGGAGTCCCAAAAGGAGAAGAGCAAAAGAAAGAGGCAGAAAGAATATTTAAATAAATAATGGCAGGAAACTGAAATTAAAAATATTAACACATTAAATAAACTCAGCATTTCAAGTGGAATATAGAGCTCCACCCTTAGACACATCATAGTCAAATTTACAAAAGCGAAAGAAATTTTGGAAACAGAAAGAGAGAAATAACATATGAAAGGGATCCTCAGTAAGATTAATAGCTGACTTCTTACTAGGACACATGGAAGCTAGAAGACATTTTCAAAGCATTTAAAAGACCATCAACCAGAAATTCTGTATTTAGCTAAACTTCGAAGATGAATTAAGACATTTACAAATAAAAGCAGAGAAGTTATTGGCAGCAGACCTACCCTATAGGAAATGTTAAGGGGAGCCCTTCAGTTTGAAACACAATGGTACTAGACAGTAAACTCCAGTCCACATGAGAAACAGCAATAGTAAAAGTAACTACATACGTATTATGAAAGGAATACTTTGTAACTTGTCTTTTAAAAGACAGCTGCATGAAGCAATAATAACAATTTGTTGATTGCTTATAACATATAGTTTGATGATAATAAAAAAAGTACGAGAGTGGAGGTATATTGCAAAAAAGTTTTTATATATTATTAAAATTAATTCAGACTAGAATGTTTTAAGTTAAAACACTAATTGCAAATTCCAAGGCAACCTCTCCAGGAAATAATGCAAAAAAATTTTAGTGAAAGAAACAAGGAAATGAAAAGGTACATTAAAAAATATCCATTTAAGACGAAAGCAGGAATTGAGGAATAGAAGATACCAGAATTCACATATACTCTTATAGGATAAAGGTTATAATGTCTAATTTTCATATTAAATAATGTAGTTATATAACCTTCAAATTTAAAAAAAAAATGATTTTTCGGGGGGTCAGGAGAGAAAGAGAAACATCAATTTGTTGTTCCACTTATTTAGGTATTCATTGGTTGATTCTTGTATGTGCCCTGACCAGGGATTAAATCTGCAACCTTGGCATATTGGACAATGTTCTAACCAGCTGAGCTACCCGGCCAGGGCCCATTTATGTAATCTTTAAGGAAGTGTTACCATTATAACATTTTGGTTCATGGGACCTCTTAGGAACTTAATACAATACTGGTAGACACTTATCAATAGATTTTACAAATATGGTATAAGAAAAATGCACCAAAGTGAAGTCAGTTTGAAAAGATTTCATTATCCCTCAGTGTTTAAACGTGCCTATGTTTTCCTGGAGATGTAACAGCTATATGTAGAAAGGAGAAATACCCTTGAAGATAACCTTGATTTTGTTTTTGAAATTTGGGTATGGAAAATTTAGTGTGGGGAGGGAGAGAAGATGAACAAAAAGGGCTTTGGAAAATAGAGGGGATCATGGGAAAAAGGCATCTGGAAATAAACACATAAAAAAAGAGCTGTTGAAAAGAGAAATGTCCTAGGCAGAATATTTCAGAATTCTTGAGAGGTATTTTTGTCTGCATTTTTTTGTATATTATTGGTTCTGTTCTCTAGAAGTGCCTAGCCCGGTGGAGATGTGATCTCAAAACAGGGATTTTTCAACATAGTCTGGAGCTGCCACATTTATAATGAAGTACATTTGCGTTTAGAAAGTTAAAACTGTGTTTAGCTTTATGGTGTGAAGAAAGTTTAATTATATCAAACAATATATGTAATTTCCTTATTATAGAAAAATTTACTTAAATGAATTTCCTTACAAATGATTTAAACTATAATTTAAAAATGAAATTTTCAATCTGTTTTCAGTCCCAGCACAATTGAAGAATAAAGCATAGTTGCATCAGTAATGATGACTCACTCAACTGGGAGCATCTCACTGGGTGAGAACAAGTAATATTTTTAAATAATTCCAAACAATTCTGATATGGTATACCTCCTTTTCATTATAAATTACAAATTTAAACTATAGAGTCCTAGAATCTTACAGAAATTAGTATTAAGAGATTACAGTGATTAAAATTGAATCTACTCATGCGAGACTATTTTGTTTTCTTCCGTAGTATTAAACCTCTTTAATACTTTTATTAACCTTACTAGAATTTTCAAGACATTTTTACTTTTAGGGTTTTTTTTTTAAAACATCAATGGGCCGCTGGGGACCTGGCCAGTAACTGAAGCATGTGCTAGCGCTGGGAATTGAAGCAATGACCCTTTGCTTCACAGGCTGGAGCTCAATCCACTGACCCACGCCAGCCAGGGCATATTCTTAGTTTTTCTAAACCATATTAACCATTTGAAATGTACAGTACAGTAGAGTTAACTGCATGCACATTTGTTCAACAGATCTTTAGAACTTTTTCACCATCCAAACTGAAACCCTTTACCCATTGAAAAATAACTTTTTCTCTTCACCTCTGCCTCTGGTAACCACCATTATACTTTCTAAGAGTTTGACTACTTCAGATGACTTATATACTGTAAGTGGAATCATGCAGCATTTATGTTTTTGTGACTGTCTTATTTTACTTAGCACAATCTCCTCAAGGTTTATCTATGTTGTAGTATATGACAGGATTTCCTTCTTTTTTTAAGGTTGAGTAATATTCCATTATATTTGTATACTGCATTTTCTTTATCTCTGCATCCACCAATGGACATTTAGGTTGTTTTCACCTTTTGGCTGTTTTGAATAATGTTGCAATGAACATGGGTATACAAATATCTTGATTTTAATTTTTCTGGATGTATATCCAGAAGTGCTAGATTATATAGCAAATCTGTTTTTAATTTTTTGAGGACCTTCTATACTGTTTTTCATAATAGTTGTATCATTTACATTCCCATTAACAGTACACAGTAGTTCTAATTTCTCCAGATCCTCACCAACATTTATTATTTTGTTTCTTTAAAACTTAAAAACATTTTATAGTGGCCATCCTAACCATTCCTAGGTTCTTAACTTACTGCTAACCTGTTAGGTCTTTATTTACTCTTTTTTACTTTCTATAGAAACAATAGTTATTTTAGGAGATTTCCTACAATTATTGCAAATCTTCACACTTCCCTGACTTCAAATGCTAAAACATCATTTGAGGCCTGTGTTGTTTTTTTTAAGGGACCTAGAAGCCTTTAATTATTTTCTAAGTTTTATGCCATTCTTTATTTTTAGATTTTATTAAATTTATTTAGGGTAACATTGGTTAATAAAATGATATGGGTTTCAAGTGTACAGTTCTATACTGTATCATCTGTATAATTGCATTGCATATTTACCACCCAAAGTCAAATCTCCTCTCACCATATATTTGACCTCTTTACCCTTTACTACTTCCCTCCTCTTTCCCTCTGGTAACCACCATACTGTTGTCTGTGTCTTTGAGTTTTTGTTTGTTTGTTACTTTCAGTTTTATATTCCATATATGAGTGAAATCACATGGTTATTGACTTTTTCCAGCTAACTTAGTTCACTTAGCATGATATTCTCAAGATCCATCCATGTTGTCGCAAATGGCAGTATTTCATCTTTTATTATAACTGAGTTACTAGTCCATTGTATAAATATGTACCACATCTTTATCTCTTCATCTGTGGAAGGGCACTTAAGTTGTTTCCATGTCTTAGCAACATTTAATAGTGCTGCATTGAACATAGGGTCATATATCTTTATGAATAAATGTTTTCAAATTTTTCAAGTAGATACCCATAAGAGGGTTTTCTTGGTCATATGATAGTACCTCTGTTCTTAGTTTCTTTCCTTCTTTTTTCTTTTTTGAGGAACTTTCATACTGTTTTTCTTAGCTGTACCAATTTACATTCCCACCAATAGTGAATAAAGGTTCCTTTTTGTCCACAACCTCTCCAATACTTGTTACTACTTGTCTTTTTGATAATAGGCATTCTAACATGTATGAGGTGGTATCTCAATGTCTTAGTAGTTTTTATTTGTTTTTTCCTAATAACTAATGAAGTTGAACTTCTTTCAAAAAAATGAAAAGTAAACAAAAGAGGACTGTGGAAACTATATTGCCTCCATCAGAAAGAGCAATTTAAGAATAATGGGTATACCAGAAGGAGAAACTAGGGAGAAGGGAACAGAAAGCTTCTTCAGTCAATGAGAACTTCCCAAACCTATGGAAAGAGCTGGATCCTGGAATTCAGTGTTGAATATAAAACTGGACATTTGAATTCCTTCACAGTTTAACAGAAATGGTCCTTTTTAGATCTGAAATTCATATAATACTACATGAATGCATCTTAAAAGGCAGAAACACAGTGCTTTTTTGTTTCTACTTACAGTTTCTAAAATCATAAATTTGCCTTAATAACATCGTTATAATGGTGATTGCCGGCCTGTCTGCTCTGGTTTCCAGGCAGTCCATAAATGCCACATCTTTGAATGTATTACTTCAGTGTAGATTTAATGTGTTCTGCAACTCTCTCTGTACATGGTTGTCTCCACTTCACTTACCCTTTGGCATCTGCTTGTGAACCTTTCTCTTGGCTATTCTCCACAGATGTCTTGCAAAGTGGAGTTGCGTTGCAAAGGCTTTGCATCAATTCTGGTAAATCAGCTACCTTCTAGTGCCCTATATTTGATGATCCTATCTAGTTATTTACTAGTAAGAAAGTACAGCTTATAGGTGATATGTATGATTATGTTCAAAACAGCAGGAATAATAATGCTTATGATTCATTTAGTTCTCACAGCTATATATATTTGAGCATTTTCTGTTTTACAGGTGTTTAGATTGATTGAGACCTCGTTGTTGCGTCTAACTTCTCTGACTCTTTTAAAGACTACTGTAATATTGTAAAGTTGAAAAAAGAAAAGGGACGCATTGGATTTGGGGGCAGATCTGTATTCAAGTTTTAATCTTCTCCTTGTTGGCTGATTTACCTTTAGATGTTTCTTATCCTCCCTGAGGCAGAAATCTCATCTGTAAATTGAAGATAATGATACTCTTTATTTTTAAGGTCTCATTGATATTGTGAGTTTGTGTTTTGGGAAGCCTTTTAACCAAGGAGGCTATCACAGTAGAGTTTCCTTCTTATAAATAGTGAAGGTGAAGGGAATTTCAAACTCTAGTGGGTACCTTTATGAACCATATTTGACAGGAGATCACTTCTGATAATTTGAATTCTCATTGTTTATCCATTAATTGAAAAAGTCAGTTAAAAGAGTAGATCATAACAAATGATGTGTATATCTTGCTAACATATAAATGAACTGTCTTTTCATTAGGACCAAGGCCTTTCCTTGTAGTATATAGATTTGCTAATGGAAACTTCAAGTCTTTCATAAATCTGCATTCATAGCATTTCAAGTTTACATTTTGTTCTTTAATATAGATGAAAAGTTAAGACAATTGAAAATTAATGGTTCTCAAGAGTGTGGTTCCCAGACCAGCAGCATCAGCATCATGTGGGAATTTCACAGCATGCAAAATCTTTGGTTTCACCCCATACCTACTGAATCAGAATCTAAGGGGATGGGGCCCAGCAGTGTATGTTTTCACACAGCCTCCATGCTAAAGTTTGAGAACCACTATTTTACATTTTATGCTTTACCTCGGTTTTTGTATTTCTCTTACCTTTGCATCTTGCAACAGCAGTGTTTTATAGTAATTTGTCTTTATCAAGTCTTTTCAAAGCTTTTGTCCTTAGTTTTTAAAGATACCTTTTATATTTGGTTTCCTGGTTTATCTAATGTTTAATTAATTAGCTAATTACAATAATGATAGACTTCCCCTAATAGGGTTTCGGAATAAATACTACTGGTTTGGGGAGAACATACAACTCAGCATTTGGGAGTAAAACTGTAAAGGGCACACTATAGCGCAGTTGACAGACGGTGAGTTTTCCGCATGCCATGGGTATCTGTTGGTGTGTTGGTGTGGTATCTGTTGGTGTGGAAAGGAAATGGAAAGTGTGGGTCTGTAAGGTGGACAAGTGAAGGCAGTTATGGAGAGTTTCTCAGATATATTTTTCCTATATAAGTCTATAGATTTCTCTGATTCATTTATCTTTATAGACCTTAATTCAGTATGCATGTTTTAGACTTTTGTTGGTCTGTAAGTAGTCTTGGCTGGATCCTGAAGTTTGAAATCTGTTTTTAATTACTCCAAGATCTCCTAGGTCAGTATTATGGAGAAAGCAGAGAACCCATCCAGTGGTTCAAATGGAAGATGTGTACCTCATAAGTTTATGTTTAATAAGTTTATGAAAAAAATTACATCTAATTCCTAAAGCAGAAAACAGATGAAAATATTCTCTGTAGCCTGAGACTGTACCTTTTGGTCTGTCTTGTAGTGTCTACCTTGATTTTGGGGAAACCAGTCATGTGTGGTGGGAGAATTCAGTTCAATACATCCTCATGCCTATTCCTGTCAAAGTGCAGGTGAAATACATGCCTACCTTTGAGGTACATAAGAGTTCTTATAAGTTGATCTGAAATCTGGCTTACTGAGTTGAAAATATTGCTCTTTGGCAATATTCTGGGTGAAGTTTTGATTGAGCTGCTTTTTAAAATTTATATTTTAATTATCTGTATATTTTAACTACATTGTTAATCTCACAAAGGAAAGGATAATCTGTCTAAATCCAATGTGGACTGTCTCATTACTGCAATAGCTGGGTTGTAGTACTGCTGGGAAACATGAATAGAAAACTACCTTATGCAAAGAAAGTTAACTATTGCTTAACAAAACCAGGATATTGTAACAGTTGACCAGTGAGACAGCAGTACTAGTCCACTGAAGCTGTTCAGATATGGATTTGATACTGCTTAGTATTCATTCTTCAGTGACACAGCAACCCAGTTATTTTACCAGCAAAGTAACAGGTGCTATAAAGCTGATGAAAAAAAAATGAACGTTGCTTA